TTGGCAATTTTTTCTGGTGCCAGATTTTGTCTCTCTCGCTTTAGGTGCATCAAATATTGAAATCGGCTGAGTATATATATGGGAGCTATAATCACATCTGAGCGTATTTGAATATAATTTGTCAAATTTATTTTTGTACCAAATTTAGCCACTCATGCCGAATTTCGTTGGAATCGGAAATACGTATCGTGTTTTGTGCATCAAATATGTGAAATCGGCGGAAAATATATATGGGAGCTATATCCAAATCTGAACCGATTTTAATATAATTTGACTAATTTATTTTCTAATCAAAATCCCGTTACATATTCCAAATTTCTTTGGAATCGAACATACATATCGTGTATGGTGCATAAAATACATGAAATCGGTCGAAAATATATATGAGAGCTATATCCAAATCTGAACCGACTTTAATATAATTTGACAAATGTATATTTGTTTTAATTTCCGCTACACATTCCAAATTTAATTGAAATTAGAGATACATAGCGTGTTTGGTGCATCAAATACATGAAATCGGTCCAAAAATATATATGGGAGCTATATCCAAATCTCAACCGATTTCAATTTAATTTGACAAATTCATTTTGGCTCCAAATTCCGTTACTTATTTTAAATTTCATTACAATTGGAAATACATATCGTGTTCGGTCCACCAAATACATGAAATCGGCCGAAAATGTATATGGGAGCTATATCCAAATCTGAACCGATTTCAATTTAATTTGGGAATTAAATTTTTTAGATAAAATCTATCACACGTTTCAAATTTCATTGAAATTGGGGATACATAGCGTGTTTGGTGCATCAAATGCTTGAAATCGGCCGAAAATATATATGGGAGCTATATCCAAATCTGAACCGATTTCAATATAATTTGACAAATTTATTTTCGGATTAAATCCCGTCACACATTCCAAATTTCATTGGAATCGAACATTCATATTGTGTTTGAGGCATCAAATGAACGAAATCGGTCGAAAATATATATGGGAGCTATATCCAAATCTGAACCGATTACAATATAATTTGGCAAACTTATTTTTGTTCCAAATTCCGTTACGTATTCAAAATTTGGAGACTGTATCTTCAACCAATCAATAGATATGTGCATATAAAATCTAAATTTTTGGGAGGTACCTCCGATTCTGATGCTATATCTCCAGTTCCAAGTGGAAATTCAAAAATGTATATAGCCTATATTACTTTCAGGCGATGTTGCAGTATATATGGAAATTTTCAGGAAAATCTATTCAGCGGTTTTCGAGTCCATAAATTACAAACAAACAAACAAACAAACATACAAACATTTTCCTCTTTTATAGATATAGATGTCTTTGGTATAAAGATGGGACAAGGCAGAGTCAAAATATTGTCACCAGGTGTAAATAGCTCTGTTGTTACGATATCGTAACAACATAGTTACCAATGTTAAGTTGTTTTAACAGCAAATGTAATTTTCAATTAATTGAAAACGTCAAAGGAATGCAATTTTGAGACCAATTTTTTGGTTTACAGAAAATGTTATTCGTAAAATTGCTCTGTAAATATGATTTTTATGCTAACATCTCACTGTTGTGAGGAGCGCCCCTATATATTTTTCACCTGAACTATTCTTCCAAAATGCATTTTTTCCAGTCTTTACCATTTTAGGTCTTTGACATTATTTACCGGAGGTGTTTCAAATTTCGTATTTAGAATTCATAATCGGTACTACAGTCTATGACAATAAATTGCATATGCCCTGCACGTCTTCGTATAGCATATTTTGAGGATTTTAGCGACATTATTCGCCGGTTTTTTTCAAGTTTCGTATTGGAGGTCTGCGTTTTTTCAAGATTTTAACAGAATTTTAAACGCATTTTATTTTTTTGAAAATGTCCAAATTTGTACCAAATGGTGGTGGCTATTTAAAATTTGAAACGGCCGAACTTATTGCTTCTTTACTCGTTCCTGTTATTATTTCTTGCGCTGCACAGTGCAATTGTGTTTTTTTTTTTAATTTGAAATAAATGGTTTGAAATAAATGGCTAAGTATTTACATCATGTTACACGAAAATGTTAAGTTTGGCTGCTTTAATTTAAATCGACTTTATACATTTACATGTATTTATTTATTTTACATTTATGTTTAGAGGGATCACTGATAAATTAAACAAATTCTAAGTCGTAGACTCTTTGTCGATTAATAAATAAGAAATTTAGTTTAGGGCAAAAATGTAGTTAAATTTTTACTTTCTTTTTTCCCACAATGATAATTTATCTGAATGAAATTATTAAATGTTTTTACATTTCCCATTTAAAACACTTTGGAACTAATATTAATTAGTTTTTTTCTGTGCTGCTTTTCCGCAAAACTGCATCACTAATCGGACATTAATTCGAGCGTTATTCATTAACACCCTGTTGTTTTTTGTAGTTTTTTATTAATACCTATTTTTGTAGTACGTTTGTCGTTCCAGCTCGTTGAAAATAATAAAAAATTAATAAACACTGTTATTACATAAATAACGAACTAGACAAAAATGTTGGACAACTTATTTTTGGCAATTAGTTTTTTTTCGGGGGTAAAATAATTGAAATGGAATTAAAATTTAAATTTATCAGTGCCTACCTTCTGAGATAGGGCTGGAAAAATATCGACTTTTATCTTTTGAAAACATCTACGGCATTGCAAAAAGTTAGCAGAAGGTTGCGGAATTTCACCAATGTTATTACACCATATTTTGCCTTAAAACTTGGGTATTAGGGACTATAAAGCTCAAAATAAATATAAAATCTTCGAAATATACGAAAATTATACGAAATCCTTAATTATTTACTCTTTCGAGTTGAGTTTTTTTCCATCGAATAATAATCTTGGCTTTTGGGAGCCATTTCCACCTCGGAGGATTTTCCCACAGGAGAAATTGGCGTATCTGGGACTCAAAAAGCCCAAGAGCTATTGTCGAGAAACCATCCTTCCAATCCTCAACTTGTGACAGTTTGAAGCGTACTTTTCTGGAAAAGAAGTAAGGTTAACACTTACAGAGAACGAATTGCACCATTAGGAGTAGATGCTCTATAAAAGTAAATTCTAAATACTTCATATTTATCGAAAAGATATGATATAAAATTGTTTATATACCCGGTACTAAGTAATAAGTAAATATGTAACAAAGCAGGAGGTTGTAAATTTAATACTAGACGTCGGTAAACTAAGAAACAACAAATAAAAAAGTAGTAAGTTCTATAGGGCCGAATTTTGAAAACTCTCCACCATTTGGAACGAATTTAAAAATTTTCAAAAAAAAAAAAAAAATCCGTTTAAAAGTTTGTTATTGAGGTCTACATAAACGACGACGTAGACATGTATGAGCAACTTTGTCATAAGCCATTACAATATTCAAATATGAAACTTAAAATGAAAAAAATCCGGCGAATAATATAACTAAAATCATCAAAATTCCGAATATTGGGAGGTACACTTATATAGGGGCTATACGAAGACCTGAACCTGCATAGACAATTTTTTGTCACAGGCTGTAGTAAATATTAGGAACTTCAAATACAAAATTCCAAACAATATAGGGAGGTACTGATTTTTGGGACCTATACGAAGACCTGGACCCGCAAGAACAATTTTCTGTCATAGACTGTAGTTCCTATTACGAACTCTAAATACGTAATTTGAAACAACTCAGGTGAATAATGTCGTTAAAATCATTAAAATACCGAATATTGAGAGGTACCGTTATATCGAGGCTATACGAAGACACTGCAAAAAAGTCAAATGCCATAATTTTTACATTTTTTGGGATGAAAGCAAAAAATGTCGGAAATAGCGTCAAAGTTTAAAAAAGTTTATATTTGTTCGAATTGGTCACCTTTGGCTTGAATTATGGCCTTCAAACGGCCAATGAAACCGTCACACGCTTCCCGAATGTTGCTCTGCGCTATTTTTGCCCATTTCGAGCGAAGCGCTTGCTCGAGGTGATCCACACATTGGTATTTTTTAGTGCCAACCTTGCTTTCAAAAATACTCCAGACACAATAGTCCAACGATTTGGTATCCGGAGATTTTGGTGGCCATTGGGCACTGGAAACGAAGCGAGGAACCTCATTTTGTAACCATTCGTGGGTGAAGCCTGCTGAGTGCGATGGTGCCGAGTCCTGTTGGAATGTTCAAGGTCTGCGGCTAAAATGTTTGCGTGCCCAAGCCTTAATACACCCTTCAGAATATTTCCGCGATAATATTCGGCATTTATTCTGATGCCACGGTCGATTAATACGAGCAGAGAGCGACCATCGGCTGTTGTGGCAGCCCAACGTATATGCACATTTTCAGCTGACCTCTTTGGCAAGTAAACACGAAAATTTTGTTCGTTTACAACCTGCTGGACAACGAATGTTTTCTCATCGAAGAAAACCAAATTCGGCAGTTCACCACATTCGGCCAAGCGAAGCAACTCTTTAGATCTTTTGAGTCTATTTTCTTTATGTTGCGGTGTAAGTTCTTGTAATTTTTGGAATTTCAATGGCTTTACCCGAGCTCATTTTTCAATATTTGCCGAATGGAATATTGCGATATGTTCAGCTCACAAGCCATTTTTCGGCCACTGCGACGCGGGTTTCGATTAAGTCGCTTCTTAACTTTTCGAACTATTTCTGCTGATGTTGCTGTTTTCTTCCGTCCACTTCCTTGACGTCGGCCTACGCAACCAGTACGAGACACAAAAAAATTATTCAAATTTAAATGCTGGAGTGATCGAACGATAGCTACTTGTGTTTTTACAGCCAAATTAAAGAAATCACACTATCACGCTTGAATTCCATCACCAGTAACTTTTTTTCTGGAAAATTCTCAACAAAATGCTTTTGTACGTTTGTAAACAATATAATGAGCTCTCACTGGAACAATTTTAACAGCTGTCGGACGAGTGGCCTAGAAATGACAGCAGTCTGAAGTTGGTTGGAGGTTTTTTCATCCCTTCCCTTAGATTTCAAATTATGACTGCTTTAAAGCCATAATACGCTTTCAATAAAGTTTATTGTTGGTATTCACAAAAATTCCCAATACTTCACATAAATTCCCTAAATAAACATTTATTTGATACGGGTAGCTCTACTAAATATGCACTGTGGTGTAGGGTATCATATGGGCGACTTTTTATTAATTTTTTTGTTGCAGTTTTTCATTAGTTACATTTCAAATGTGTGGAGGGTGTACAAGATGGAGAATACAACTTTGGTCGTTTTCTATAAGATTTTCCAGATTTTCCATTTGGTTTTGTATTTTTTTAATGCAATTGTGTTTTTCAATTTTTTGCCCGAGTAAATTGATATTTTTACAAAGTATATAAAAATAAAAATATCAATTCTGTGAAAAAAGCGAAAAGTAATCACTTGGAAAACCCTTCTAAGCAGATTACAAATGAAGCGTTACCAAGAATTTCGTATTGTTGTTTTTTTTTACTTATTTTATTGATTCTATTGTTGTTATTTTGTTTTGTTTTATTTTTCCTAAGAGGAAACCCCCTTCCAGTTCTATTGAAACTGATCGATTTCAGTTGCTCGTTGACACAGTAAGATTTCTATTAAATGGGTTAATTTCACTTAAAATAATTTCATTTAAGATTCGAGTTTTGTTTCTACATAGGGGAAATACATATTGATAAGTCGTACTTATATATATGTATATGGTTGTATATACAAAGGTTTAACTGTATTTGAGTCAAGCCATACATGAAGCTTCGCATCACCAACTTTAATAACGTTTCACGCTGTTGCAATAGTTCGAGTGCACTCGCTGACAGGCAGCAAAGTCGGCATACTGATAGAGACAACAATGGAAACATTCCACAGGATAGACATATTGGTATCCTATTGACCATTCAAAGAGAAAGTTATGAAAAGAATTAATGGCATTTCATTAAGGTGTTGGACTATTCGAGTACAAACCTTTACATGTCCATAGCCAACGTGCGTGACCGTATTGTTTCTTGAAATAACATTTTCTATTATGATAATCCGGATAACCAGGATAATGGGGATATGTGGGTCGATTGGGAGCATCTGTGACGGGATTTTGTGGGGTGGAGTTATTTGGTTTGTTGGCTTCAGTTGTTGGTGATGTTGTGGGTGCTATTGATGGCACAGTGGGCTCTGCTTCGGTAGTGGTGGTAGTTGTGGTAGGCTCGGGCGTTGTGGGCTCTGGTGTTTGGGGTTCTGGTGTTGTGGGCTCTGGTGTTGAGGGTTCTGGTGTTGGGGGTTCTGGTGTTGTAGGTTCTGGTGTTGGGGGTTCTGTTGTTGTAGGTTCTGGTGTTGGGGGTTCTGGTGTTGTGGGTTCTGGCGTTGTGGGTTCTGGTGTTGTTGGTTCTGGCGCCGTGGGTTCTGGCGTTGTGGGTTCTGGTGTTGGGGGTTCTGGGGTTGTGGGCTCTGGCGTTGTTGGTTCAGTCGTTGTAGGTTGTGTTGTTGTCGTTGTGGGAGGATCTAAATCCGGCGGTGGCATATCTTGGGCCAAAGCTCCAATAAGTAACAAACTGAAGATTACATAAAATTTCAACTAAAAAAAAAAAAAAAATAAAAAGTATTCATGTTTTTATTATTTGGCTTTCCCCGGCGGGCAATTTTTTCGCACAGTTTCTATTCCGTACCATTTTGTTTCGTTTGATTTTTGTGCAATTGGTGCAATTTTCTAAAAATATAAATTCTTCGAAATAGTTTTTTTTTTTATTTATTTTGAATTTGTCGAACGTATGATTAACGTGTGTGCTACTTAGTGGCCGTGCTATTTTGTACTAAAAACTGTTCAATTACCCACATCGTTACCAAGTCTCTCAGTTCACGATGTTGGAGAAGCGTTGTTTGACTCTGTCGTTCGTTGAATTGTTTATTTTGGTTGATATGGAACCAGCAATGCCGGCTGCGAATGAAAAACAAAACAAAAGCAGATCAATTCTTTTCGCGTTTATTTTGAGGGGGGGGGGGTGAGTGGGGCAATTGGATTGGTGACATGTTAGCTCCCCTTGCTGTATTAGAAACATAATTCGCATATCTCTTGGGGATGATTACTCATGTCAAATCAAAGTTTATATTTCTTCGTCTCGAATATCAGAAGTGATTCAGATTTGATGAGGTTCGTCAGTAAATGAGTGAATTTTAAAATATTTCTCGCTCAAATTATTCATATTACTCTCTCACTCAGAAGCCACATCAGATATAGGGATACATCCTGATTGTTTTTGTTGTTGTTGTTTTATGCCTTTTGTTTGTTGTTATGCCTTTTTGTATTTGTTTGTAACATGGAGAAGGAAACGAGATAGACGCTTACTTACTTTTGAGAATACTTATTATCACTTTTTGAGTCGATTTATGAATGTCCGCCTGCCTCTTTGTCGTTGTAAAAAAATCAGGTCGAATTTATTTTTCGATTGAGATAAAATGTAATTGGGCCCAAGGACGAAACCCCTATACAAATTGGTAATAATCGGTTAAAATTTAGATATAGCTCCCACATATATGGTTTCAAATTTTATTGGGCGCCAAATGTGTAAAATTCGAGAATACAGGGTGAAATGAAAAAAAAAAAAAAAAAATGCAACCAACTTATTCGTGATGGAATTCAAGCGTGATAGTGTGATTTCTTTATATTTGCTGGAAAACCCCAAGTGGCTATTGATATTGCACTCCAGCATTTAAATGTGAATAAATCTTTTGTGTCTCGTACCATCGCTCGTTACCGTGATACTTGTAGCGTAGTCCGACGTCAATGAAGTGGATGGAAGAAAACAGCAACATCAGCAGAAATGGTTCGAAAAGTAAAGAAGCGACCGAAACCCGCGTGGCTGTGGCCGAAAAATGGCTCGTGAGCTGAACATATCACAAATATTGAAAAATGAGCTCAGTGTGAAGCCATTGAAATTCCAAAAAGTGCAAGAACTTACACCGCAACAGAAAGAAAATAGACTCAAAAGAGCTAAAGAGTTGCTTCGCTTGGCTGAAAGTGGTGAACTGCCGAATTTGGTTTTCTCCGATGAGAAAACATTCGTTGTTCAGCAGTTTGTAAACAAACAAAATGATCGTGTTTACTTGCCAAAGAGGTCAGCTGAAAATATGCACCTTCGGTTGGCCAACAGAACTCAAGCGTCCGCTATGGCGATGGTATGGGCCGCCATAACAGCCGATGGTCGGTCTCCGCTCGTATTAATCGACCGTGGCATCAGAATAAATGACGAATATTATCGCCAAAATATGCTGGAATGTGTAATAAAGTCTTGGGCACGCGCCACCCAAGAATGGTTACAACATGGGGTTCCTCGCTTCATTTTCAGCACACAATGGCCACCAAAATCTCCGGATACAAATCCGTTGGACTATTGTGTATGGAGTATTTTGGAAAGCAAGGTTGGCACTAAAAAATACGAAAGTGTCGATCACCTCAAGCAAGCGATTCGCCGGGAATGGGCCAAAATACCGCAGATCAAAATTCGGGTATCGTGTGATGGTTTCATTTGCCGTTTGAAGGCCATAATTTGTGCCAAATGCGACCAATTCGAACAAATCTAAACATATTCTAAAATTTGATGCTATTTCCGACATTTTGTGCTTTCATTCAATAAAATTTAAAAAAAAAATTAAAAAATTATGACCTTTGACTTTGTTGCAGTTTTTTTTATCTCAACATATTTGTCCGATTTCACGGTTATTGTACACCAAATGGTTTATATCAGTCCGAATGGAGTGAATTTTGGGACGTACAGCCGAATTCAGAGGCAAGTGCTTTAAATTTGCTTTAAATAGCTTGTTTTATCCGATTTGGTGTTAAGGTCCCTCATATTTTAAATATGCACTCCCCAAGAATGATATTTGGTACCAGATTAAAATGCAGCTCAGAAATACTCCTGCAAAATTTTATCAAGATCGCTTCAGATTTGGATATAGCTTTCATATATCTGATTTTACAGTTATTGTTCACCATATATGCAATACCAGCCCAAATTGATTTTTTTATATTCAGGCGAATTTTTAATTTCGTGGAACTCACTCCCATATATCTCTCTCTGAAATCTGAAATATATTTTTCAATAATATCCTTTTCGAAGTCATATCTCTAGCAATGTTAGTTGGTATGAGAGGTGTTCCCCCTGATTCCAAATTATAATTGGTGTAAAGCCATATTACGCATTCAAAAAAGGTTCATTGTTGGTATTGCCAAAAAATGCCCAATACTTCACGGGTAGCTTTACTAAATATGCATAGTGGTGTAGGGTATCATAATGGCCCCGCTCGACTTTTAATCTTTCTTTACTGAATTTATCTATTTTTTTTTAAATTTTATCCTTTTTTGCTAAAAAAAAAAAAAAAAACATTACGAATCGGTGTAAATATCAATGTCAGTCCAGCCATTTTTCAGTTTTAAGCATAGTAACTAAAAACGGCTGGGCCGAAATTTTGAAACCCTCCACCACTATGTTTATCAAAGGTACCTTTATATGTAGGCATTACCAATTGGAGGCCCTGAATCGAAAATTGTTTCCAAGGAGAGAACAGACCTGCCAATAACCCCAAACGTCAAGTTATATCTGATTTGTTTGGAAATTGTGGCAGAAACCTCAAAAATAGCGAACATCGGGAGGCACCGTTAAACGAAGGTTATAGCAAATAGTAGACCTTTATTGAACACCTTTCGCAAGAAGAGAACAGTCCTACCACGAAACCCAATTGTCAAGTTTCAGCTGATTTAGTTGGAAATTGTGGCAGAAACCTTTTAAATATCGAAAACCGAGAGGTACTGTTATATGGAGGCTAGACCAATTACTGGACCTTTATATTTAGCAAGGATAGCACAGACCTACCGAGAACCCCAATTGTCAAGATTTATCTCATTTGGTGGAAAATTGTGACAGAAACCTCAAAAGTACCGAAAATCGGGAGGTACCTCTATATGCGGGGCTATACCCTTAAAATATCGAAAACCGGGAGGTACTGTTAAATTGAGGCTAGACCAATTACTGGACCTTTTTATTTTGCAAGGATAGCACAGAACTACCGAGAATCCCACCTGTCAAGATTCATCTAATTTGGTGGAAAACTGTGACAGAAACCTCAAAAGTACCGAAAATCGGGAGGTACTTCTATATGCGGGGCTATACCTAAACGTGGTTCAATATAGCCTATTTTCAGCCAGCATTCTCTAAATCGCCTTATAATTTTATTCTGATCAGGAATATATATAATATGTGCAAAATTGAATATAACCTTCATTGTATGGTGTAGGGTAAAATATACGCCCCTTTATTTGATCGAAATGAAAACTCCCCTTAAAAGTGAATTTTTGACGCAATGAGCTTCAAATATCTCTCTTTCTCTCTCCCGCAAACAAATTTGCATTTATTTAAGTTGTATGGACAGATAACACTTGAGGGAACCCAAAAAGAAGAAAATACCAGAAAGCATTGATCACTAAACAAACGATGATGGCACTGGCGGTCTGCTATAAACGCGACACAGCAGGTGATGAGAATTATGGTGGCGTTGCCGGTAATTTTCGCATCATCCATGACGTTGCTTGCTTTCTAAAGCAACGAAACAAAAAACCTTAAAAATTTAAATATTTAAAAATACAAATAAATGTAACACATCACTTTACTAGTTTAACTTAACTCATTCTCATTCACTGATAACCTTTTGGGCCATATGGCCCTGGACTGCCGTAGGAAAATCCAATCCAATTGTAGGAAGGGGATTTATATACACACATATATATATACACACATATATAATGTTGATAATGAGTGGTGATGGTGCACGTCGTTTAAACTAAAATTAATTATGTCTCACTCACAGCGTACGGAAAATAAAAGCGGGCGTAAAATGCTTGCGCTTTTACTTTCATAGGTGACCCTCATGATTACAAAAAACCGCCCTCCCCCACAACCCCTTCAATTGATTGCATTGGCGTGTGTCATTTCGCATGTGACGATGATAGGTTTAATGCGTTTAACGTTGTTGTTGTCGATGCGAATTGCTTTGTTTTGGGTGTCATCGATTGTTTGTTTTGTTCAAAAACAAAACAAAAAAAAAAGTTAAACAAAGTCAAGATTTTTGTTTTATTTGTCCATCAATTCATTGATTCGTGTGCATGGCTCTCCTTAGCGGTTGAATTCAGGTTCATTTGCCATATCCGTGATATTTATGAAAATCCGTCGTGACAATATGAATTTTAAGCTTTTCTCTGTTCCATTGAGAATCAATTTACAAAGCAGTGCAAAAATTATGGTAATTGCTTGCAATGAATTAATCATAATTCAATGCTTTGACTTATTATTATTTAATTATTTAAAGTTATGGCTTATCCTTTGTCAATTTCAACTAACGCATTATTTTTAAATATTTTTCTAGAGATAGGAAAAGTATATTTTCCTGGGACTGGACCCAGGTACCTAGGTTTTTGACCTGACAGCCCGGATTCAAGATATTATATAGATATCGTTATAAAATTTATGAAAAGCCCTCTCCAATAAGTGGTCTTATTTAAGTTATCGATTTTTGAATTAGAATTTTTGATAAAACCCCCAAAAGCTAAAAAGGCTTAATTGTGGGAGACTTCAAAGTACATGACGAATGATAGTTAACAAAACAATATCAACCCGGACAACCTGATTCGATTCAGTTCATTGAAATTATATTTATACCCTACAACACTATGTGTTGGAGGTATTATGAGTTTGATTGGGTCAAAAATTATGTAAAAATTGAAATAATGGTTTCCTCTACAGGTCGCAATTATGGCCCGATCTTCACGAAATTTA